TATCTCGCTCGCGTATTGCGTCCGCGATAACACAGCGAGCAATGTCTGGTTGCTGTCAATCGCGTCCACTGCTTCACGCTGATTGGACACGCTCCGGGGTGGCGCGGGTCGATCTGTTCCCTAGGCTGCGCGCGGTTTCCTTCGTTGTCGTCCGTGACGTCACGTGGACTGTTATCCAATTGGTTATTGTCGCCGGGTGCGTTCCGGAGTGGTTGTTGACTGATCGGTTAGTATAATCGAGATTCATCGATACGTGGCTCGAGCCTGATATCTTCCTTTCTAACGCTGTATGAGCGTCGTCTACAGCTCGACCTAGTACTACGCGTAGCCATCTAGTTAGAAAAAAAAGATGGAAAGTAAATCGAGCAAAGAAATGATGAAGAAATAGAGGTAAATAACATCGGTGTGGTAGCGAGCTGGATGAAATTGAATGAAAGACGCAAATTGTGGCAAATAAATATTCAAGAATTTGATAGTGTATAAAGGTAGAGTATAAAGCGAGAACGAAAAAAAAATCATGCTGTAGCAAGGATGGAGCAGGAATTTGGAACCGGCGAACATTAGGATAATCTTAGGACAGGAATCTATCCAGTGGAATATTTAATCTACCTGCTAAAGGTTGTTGGTAAGACTGACTGGGCGTTGCACGCGTTGTCATCAGTAAGAATATCGTGCTGGAGTGGGCAATTGGCGTATTTGTTAATTTCAAATCAGTTAGATTTGCTCCGGTAGAGGCCCAATGCTTATTATCCAACGGTAGTTAAATTGGAGATTCAGTCGGCGTCTGTGACGTCACTGGTTCCTGTGTTCCTGGCGGACTCTGTTGGAGCTGTGGTGTCACAGGTTCCTGTGTTCCTGCGGCCTCTGTTGATGGCTGTGATGTCACAGATTCTGTTGTTACACGCGGGCCTCTGTTGCGTGATTGTGACGTCACAGGTTCTTGTGTTCCTGCGAGCCTCTGTCGATGGCTGTGATGCCACAGATTCCGTTGTTACCGGGGCCTCTGTTGGTGGTTGTGACGTCACAGGTTCTTGTGTTCCTGGAGATGTTGTTGATGGCTGTGATGTCACAGGTTTCGTTATTTCTGGAGCACCAGTTAATGGCTGCTGACGCTCACATGCTTTTTTGCGTTCCGGGAGATTCTGTTGCGTGGCTGTGATGTCACAGATTCTGTTGTTACTGGAGCTCTGTGATGGTTGTGATGTCACAGGTTGTTGTGTTTCTGGGAGCCTCAGTCGATGGCGCTGTGACGTCACAGCTTTTTGCGTTCCGGGAGATTCTGTTGGTGGCTGTGATGTCACAGATTCTGTTGTTACTGGAGCCTCTGTTGATGGTTGTGATGTCACAGGTTGTTGTGTTTCTGGAGCCTCAGTCGATGGCTGTGATGTCCCAGTTTCTTGCGTTCTGGGAGATTCTGTTGGTGGCTGTGATGTCACAGATTCTGTTGTTACTGGAGCCTCTGTTGATGGTTGTGATGTCACAGGTTGTTGTGTTTCTGGAGCCTCAGTCGATGGCTGTGATGTCCCAGTTTCTTGCGTTCTGGGAGATTCTGTTGGTGGCTGTGATGTCACAGGTTCTGTTGTTACTGGAGCCTCTGTTGATGTCTGTGATGTCACAGGTTCTGTTGTTACTGGAGCCTCTGTCGGTGGTTGTGATGTCACAGGTTGTTGTGTTTCTGGAGCCTCAGTCGATGGCTGTGATGTCACAGTTTCTTGCGTTCTGGGAGATTCTGTTGGTGGCTGTGATGTCACAGGTTCTGTTGTTACCGGAGCCTCAGTCGATGGCTGGGATGTCACAGTTTTTTGCGCTCCAGGAGATTCTGTTAATGTCTGTGATGTCACAGGTTGTTGTGTTCCTGGAGCCTCTGTTGGTGGCTGTGATGTCACAGGTTCTATTGTTACCGGAGCCTCTGTTGGTGGCTGTGATGTCACAGGTTCTGTTGTTGCCGGAGCCTCTGTTGATGGCTGTGACGTCACAGGTTGTTGTGTTCCTGGAGCATCTGTTAATGGTTGTGATGTCACAGGTTCTTGTGTTCCTGGAGCATCTGTCAATGGTTGTGATGTCACAGGTTCCATTGTTACCGGAGCCTCTGTTGATGGCTGTGATGTCACAGGTTTTTGTGTTCCCGGAGCTACAGTTGATGACTGTGACGTCACCAGTTCCGGTGTTTCAGTTTCGTCACTTTGAGTCTGTGACGTCACAGCATCTGTCGTTACGCTACCAACCGTGGACAATTTCTGATCATCGACCTCTGGCCGAGTGGGCGTGGACACGGGGCGCTGGCTGGACGGGGCTGGAGTGGAATCAGTGGCTGGGCTCGTGCTAGCGGTGTCTGTGGCGGTGTCAGTGGGAGGTGACTGGCTAGACGTGTTAGTGCTGTCGGTGACAGCTGACGTGGTCAAGGTGACGGTCTCTCTACCGACTTCCGTTACCGGCAACGGTGTTGTGTCGGTTTCTCTGTCCGGTACCGTAGCTAAGGGCGAAAAAAAAAATCAAAAGCGAAATAAGGAAAAAGGAAAAACCGAAATGCCCGCTGCAAAAGCGATACCGTGTTAATGCGTAAAGTAGAAAGTAAATTCGTTATTTATATAAGCAGAAAATAGCAAAATAAACGCGAATGAAACTGTTATTAAATGAAATAATGTAAATAATTCAATTAAGATAATGTAAGTTAATACAAACGCCAAATTAAAATCTCTATCCACCGCATCAGGCCAGAAGACGTTTAACAAAAATGAACAAAAACTGTAACTATTGCAAAGCAAATCATCAATAAAAGTAACTAAATGAATCGACAAAATAGCTTAAAGGAATCAAAGCAAAACAATGCAAACCGTGTTAGTGTAATGCAAATTAACCCACAAAATAACGAAATGCAAATACAAATCAACAAAACAACATTGCTGCCCTGAGTCGGAATACGTTACCTTGCCTCGCGGGTTCAGCCACGATTCTCTCTCGTGCTATATTTCTCATATCTATGTGCCTAACAAATCGCGTGTATGTCTGTCTGTCCGTCTGTCTATCTGTCTGTCGTTCTATCGACATAATCCATCTTGTATCACGTGACCGGTGTCATTTCCTTGCAGCAGCGTGTGTGCTAGTGCTACAGCGCGCGTGAGCGCATGTGCGTGCGTGTGCAGTTTTTCCCCACATAAAAACATGCACCTAACCCATGTATTAACCATCTTAATCGGATCATGTAAGGCATGCACGCACACCGGAGCGATGTGTCTTGTGTGGTGCTGGTGTCTAAAATTCTCGCGTTTCGCACGAAGCTGTATGCGTGTTCTCTTCGTTGCGCCTCTTTCTTCTCTCCTTTCTCGCCCGCACTCAGCGCTGCGCGGCACTTATAGCTATCTATCAGCGCTACTTTACCTTCCCCTTCTTCTTCGTGCTGTTACCATTCTCCTGCGAACACCCAAACTTCCTTACCCACACATAATCGAGCAACAATCCACTATCGACACCTGAAAGAAAACCTGTGAAAAAATTCCCTCGCGTTTCCGCCATCTTGGCAGTGGACGCAGATGGCGGTGTGTTAGATGGAGTGGAGAGACGGAGCAGGAGGAGGAGGAGGAGGAGAAGGAAGAGGAGAAGGAGGAGGAGGGGAAGGAGCTTACCTTCCACAGGGCCAGTCACGTTGACGATAATGGCGTCGTCTGGCCCTAGCGGCTGTGGCGACGTCTCGGTAACGATGGCTGCAACGAGAACACAGGTAAACACACATATATTAAAGATAGGGGGGTCCCCGGTGACACTCACAACATTGCATGCAGTGCCACCTACTGTTTAGACAGCTTCCCAGTTCCTGCTGATACGCAAGAGGACACGATGTCTAATAGCACTGCCTGCTGTAACAGGGCGTGTCCTGATTGGCGGAAATGAGATCGAACTAGCCCTAGGAACAATATTCTGGGGGGGGGCCGTTGTTAGAAACAAAATCAGTTTCAAAATGAGTCTTAACACTAACTTTGTCTCTTAGACTGTTGGCAGAAACATGGTAAAGTTACAAATTTCTGACACGCATTGCATAGAGGTCCGGTCTACGAGAAAAAGTAAATGTTAGAACTACTATTCTTAAAACTAATTTCATTTGTCCAACGAGGTTCGAAGCCCTTCACAAAGCACTGATAAGGAGTGTAATAGTCGTATATTAATAATCAACATATATTACATGTACCCGCTATACTACTAGTACAGGAGCAGTACAGAGTAGGGATATAAGTGTGCACTTTTTGACAAAATTATGAAAATTGGCACATAGGTAGTTTCAGAGGTGTTATATGAGCGGTGAGCACGTACCGTTACAGGAGAAGCTGCCTTCGAGGTTCATGCAGTTCTCAGCGTTGGCGCCACACATGCCTCGCGCACACTCATCGATGTCTGCAAGCATGCAAGAGAAACAAGCGTGAGTACGTAGATGATGCGACATTCGGGTGGACACCCCTGTCAGAGGTCAGAGGTCAGTGGTCAAAGGTTTCCTCCATCTCTCGCGCGCTCTCTCTCTCTCTCTCTCTCTCCCTCTCTCTCTCTCTCCCTCCCTCTCTCTCTCTTTCTCCCCCTCTCGCCCCCTCTCTCTGTTTCGCTGTCTTTCTTTCTCACTCAGTCTTTTTGTTCTCTTTCGTTCTTGCTCTCTCTCTCTCTCTCTCTCTCTCTCTCTCTCTCTCTCTCTTTCACATCACACTCTCACACGCTCTAAATCTCTTTCGTGTGTTCGCATCTTACCTGTGCATATGACACCATTTCCTTCCCACCCGCGCTTACACACGCAGTGAAAGCTGCCTGGTGGATCGTCCAGACAGGCGGCATTGCGGTCGCAATTGTGTATTCCCAGTTCACACTCGTTGATATCTGCAGGGAGGGAAGGATTCACGTTAGCCTGGGTTTCCCGCTCTGCGTTCGCCTCGCGCTCGCTTTCCTTCTCGCCTTTTTCATCGTCGCGAATGTCGTCGCGTGACGTCACGTTTTTCATGCGTCATATCCGATACTGCATGTTTCCGTTTTGTCGTGTCGTGGATTGATCGCTGACACTAGGGGGCGCACACTTACTTTGGCAGGTGTCCCTTCCGTTTCCGGTGTATCCGGTGATGCACGTGCACACGTAGCTGCCCTCGGTGTTCGTACACGTGGCCAGAAGCACGTGACAGTCGTCCGTGTTTGATAGACACTCGTCAATGTCTGAGAGAGAGAGAGAGAGAGAGAGAGAGAGATGAGAATTAGTGAGGAAACAGGGTATTGGTGTGTCGAAGTACACCGTTTACTATCATAATAATACGGTATAATACATAATATAATGATATCATATCATACACATAATACCATATTTAGCAATAAAATATGGAGGCAGTAAAGTAGCGCATTGCAGGAGACTGACGGTTAGACTGACACCAAGCACACAAGTGCCTAAGCGTACAAGGAGAACAACGATGTACGGGGCGAGTCTAACCGTTGATAAAACAAAAACAAAAAACGTTTTCCAGAATGATGACGTCATCGATTATGACGTAATGACGACGTCATCAGCGCATCGTCTGCTCGTCAGGGGCGACCTTACCGACGCATCCGCTAGCTGTCTGCTTGTATCCGGGTTTGCATTCGCATTCGAACGAGCCATCGAGGTTCCTACAGACAGTGTTTTCTGGGCAGTTGTCTAATCTGGCTGTACACTCATTGATATCTGCAATATATGACGTATATGTGGTCAGGATAATATAAATGATTAATACGTATGTGTGTGTGCGCGTGGGGGAGGTTGTGTGTGTGCGTGTGTGTGTGTGCGTGCGCGCGCGCGTGTGTGTGCGCGCGCGTGTGTGTGTGTGTGTGTGTGCGCGCGCGTGTAGAGAGGTGTGCTTGTGTGTACGTAGACAAGTATACAGCAGGTGCGCATCTAACTGTTATGTGTGTACGCACCGAAGCAGTCGACACCGTCGCCCTTGTATCCCTCCTCACAGGAGCAGCTGAAGCCGCCGACAATGTTCGTACATATGCCATGCGCAGCGTGGCAGTTTGCCCTTCCCTCGGCACACTCATCCTGGTCTGTGTAGCAGATGAGAGAGAGAGAAGATCTCTGTTAGTAAAGACGCGGTTACGTACCGTCACTCGGTCGTTGCTTCGCGACGTGCACGGCAGACTATAGAACTAGAATTTAGACGTTAGATTGGAATTAATTATGTGTAGATATGTTATCCTTGACTAATGTCGAAATGTATCCCGCTCGTAACACACGACAAAAACTTTTGGTTAGTTATATAAGTACTTAATATCAGATACTGGTCGCAACATCAGCTAGTATGGTAGGCTCCTATTTTTATACTAGCATATATATATATATATATATAATATATCATAGGTAGATAATAACAGAATATTTATTATACCATTTGTCATTATCTACTCCTAATATCAAGAGCTAATAATACCTTATTATTAGCTCTTGCTATTATTAGCTCTTGCTAATATATATGCTAGTATAATTTCCGTACCCCAGATTATATCAAATCACAGTGAGTTATTATCAGGGGTTAATAATGACAAATAATGATTTGTCATTATTAACCCCTGATATTATTAAATCTAGAGGCAAGTAACATTCGCGTGAAACATGTCACAACGTCGCCGCAACGAGACATCGTGTCAACTGTCCCCCCCCCCTCCTCCCATCGCTGCTTACCGACGCACGTGACGCCGTCGCCGGAGTATCCCGCCAGACAGATGCACTGGAACGAGCCATCCGTGTTCTTACAGCGAGCGTTGACGTCACAGTTGTCCTCTCCCAGCAAGCACTCGTCCCGGTCTGCATGAGTGCGAAAACATACGTGAGTCGTCGCGAGAGGGAAAAGGGAAAGGGGAGGGAATTGGGAATTGGGAGGGAAAGGGAAGGGAAAGGGGAGGGAATTGGGAATTGGGAGGGAAAGGGGAGGGAATCGTCGCAGTCTGTGCGCGAGTACGAAAACATACGTGAGTCGTCGGGGGAGGGGAAAGGGAAGGGAGGAGAACTACTAAGGAAACTACTAGAGGAAGGGGAGGGTGAAACTACTACTTACTACGCTTCTACGCGAATACAGGATGGAAGACCAGTTTCCATGTTTACGTGTTTACGTACACTCCTGTTTAGTGTGTATAGGTACGCTACTTCTGCCCAAGGAGCTAAATATAACAAGGAGAGGAAGCGCCGCCATATCTGGCCCAAATTTGGGTTCGGCAGATACCCTAGAACAGATTAGTGTTCTATTGTCTAGTGGTTCGGTCTGCACAGCCGTTTCAGCTGATTATGGTCCATAGATGGCGCCCTTGAGGCGAAAAGCGCACAGCCAATCCGCTTCCTCTCGTTGTTATATTTAGCTCCTTGCTTCTGCCGAGGCGTGGTAGGACATGACGATGAGTAGTGAGTATCCGTCAGACTTATTCACGTTAATGAAAAAACGTCATTAATAATAAACGTTGACAAACGGCAATTTCGGAGGCTTTTTCGAAACGTATGACAAAATTTTTCTCCTAATCGTTTTAACTCGACATCGATGAGGACGACGTCACGCGTGACGTAGCGTGACGTCACTGTAATAGAGGGAAGAGGCCGGAAAAAGAGAGAGAGAGAGAGAGAGCGCGCGCAGACGTACCGTTGCAGGAAAATCCAGGAGCGCCTTCCAGGTTTGTGCAGCTTGCTCCGCCAGCACACGGGTCTGATAGACATTCATTCACGTCTGAAAGAAGAGGAAAGTGCGGTTAGCAACACGGTATGATGGTAGTTGGGAATCGCTCTGCATTCGTCGTGCAATGCTGGAACGATCCGGTGGGCTATATTCGGTAGAAGAGTAAGAATAGAAGATGGAGAGAGAAAGAGTGAGAGTGAGAGAGAGAAAGAGAGAAAGAGAAAGAGAGAAATAAAGAAAGAGAGTGAGAGAGAAATAACGAAAGAGAGATAGTTCTAACAACCAGCGTACATCCCCCCGCCTTACCCCGCCCCGCACACCCATATGATTCCACTTACCGACGCAGGTGACGCCGTCTCCCGTCCAGTACGGTCCCATACAGTTACACACGAATCTGCCGATCGTGTTGAAGCAGGAGGCTCGGCTCTCATCGTCACAGTTGTCCGTCTGCTCAAAACACTCGTCGATATCTACGCAGCAGACGACACACGAATGTTAGTCGGTTGCCAGGCGACCAGATACCAGCGAACCTTGGATATAAGGAGAGTGTGGGAGTTTGGTGGAAGATTGTTGGGAAGGGTTAGGGTTAGGGTTAGGGTTAGGGTTAGGGTTAGGGTTAGGGTTAGGGTTAGGGTTAGGGTTGCGGGGATTGTTGGGAAGTGGTGGAAACAATGGAATGCGGGAGTGCGCACGTTATTGCGCACGCAAAGGCACACTCTCCCTCCCCCTTCCAATCCTCCCCATCCTTTACTTACCTGTGCAGTTATTCCTGCTGTCGCCACGGAAACCGGTAGCGCAGCTGCAGACGAACAAACCCACCTCCCACTTCCTCATTCCCTCCTTTTTCCTCCTTCCTCTTCCTCCCTCTCCTCCTCCCCTACCTCCTCCCCCTCTCCCTCACGCACCTGTGCAGTTCTCCCTGCCGTCGCCACGGAAACCGGTAGCGCAAGTGCAGACGAAAGATCCCATCGTGTTCACGCAGACGCCGTCCCGATGACAGTTGTGACTTCCCGCTTCGCACTCGTCAATGTCTGAGAGCAGACGACAATGTATACACACAAACCGATGACGTATGATAATAACGCACACGCAGACCGATGACGTAAGACAATAATGCGCGCACATACGCCGATGACGTAAGACAATAATGCGCGCACATACGCCGATGACGTACGACAATAATGCGCGCACATACGCCGATGACGTACGACAATAATGCGCGCACATACGCCGATGACATACGATAATGATGCGCGCACACGCAGACCGATGACGTAAGACAATAATGCGCGCACATACGCCGATGACGTACGACAATAATGCGCGCACATACGCCGATGACGTACGACAATAACGCGCGCGCAAACCGATGACGTACGAGACACACGATCGAACAAGTGCGCCACGCCGTCGGTCAGCGAAATCCGCAAAGTTGCGAAAATTAGAAATTAGGTGAGTGGTGCGCCATCTACCGGGGAGTAGGGTCGACGCGTACGTACCGTTGCAGGTGACTCCGTTGCCATCGTAACCGGTGACGCATTGACAGTTGTAGCTACCGTCTGTGTTCAAGCAGACAGCGTTGATGTCGCATACAGCGACACCTGTCGTGCATTCATCCAAATCTGCAAAGAAACGCAATGTAGACCGTTAAAACAAACATACAAACAAACAAACATCGTTAAATAAATAATGTATATTGCAATATATTTTCATCAATCTAGCTCCTAAATTGTGTCCCATGGAGCGACAGAATCTGTTACTTTGGTCTCAGTAACGGGCCTCGCCTAGCAAAGCTTCTTGATCAACGAGCTGACGTTGGCGTTACCGTAGAATGATCGATTACTTATTTAAATGCATCAATAAATACCACATAACAAACGCCGATATATTCACGAACACTTGATGTACAATGCATCGCACGCTGCGTGCTACGTACGCATCTGTTCGTATTATATTTGAACGATAGATGGCGCGCATGTGGTTGCCAGGCGACCGTGTGGCGGGCCTTACCTTTGCATTGTTTTCCGTCGCCCTCGTAACCTCTGCTACACACGCAGTCGAAACCTCCCGGCCGGTTGTGACAGACGGCGTTTGGGTGGCAGTCGTTGTTGCGCGTCACGCACTCGTTCTCGTCTGTCAAAATATCAACCGTACGGAATGAGCATCCGTTAGACAAAAAAAAGTTCAAATATCGTCTGCTGATTACGATAGGACGTCGGTGTTGTATATAACTAGGCGCTGCAGTAGTAGGCGAGTGTAACTGCCATAAGTTTGACGTGGTAGCTTTAGGGATTTTCTATGTTTTGAACAACTAAATGATACATATATGCAGTGTACGTAGTAGGCAGACAGTTTCATTATGGGACGTATATAGCTAAAGAATGTACGTACGTGTTGTAGTAACTAGATGGTTCTGCGTTATAAGTTGTATTATGCGTTATACGTTGTGTAGCTATACAGACTGTATTGTATGTTATTGTTGCAGTATTTAGATAGTGTAACTATATGTGTTTTATAGCTAGAGAGTGTGTAAGACTGTGTATGCTAGTAAACTGTATTACACATGTGTTGTGGTAAATAGCTGATGTAACTATAGCTCTAGTACTATAGCCCGCGGAT